GCTACTTTACCAAATTCATTGATTAGCTCTAGTAGTTTTCTGGTAGCATCTTTAGGATTCTCTATGTATAGTATCATGTCATCTGCAAATAATGACAGCTTTACTTCTTCTTTTCCGATTTGTATTCCTTTTATTTCCTTTTCTTCTCTGATTGCTGTGGCTAAAACTTCCAAAACTATGTTGAATAAGAGTGGTGAGAGTGGGCAACCTTGTCTTGTTCCTGATCTTAGTGGAAATGCTTTTAGTTTTTCACCATTGAGGATGATGTTGGCTGTGGGTTTGTCATATATGGCCTTTATTATGTTGAGGAAAGTTCCCTCTATGCCTACTTTCTGCAGGGTTTTTATCATAAATTGGTGTTGAATTTTGTCAAAAGCTTTCTCTGCATCTATTGAGATGATCATATGGTTTTTCTCCTTCAATTTGTTAATATGGTGTATCATGTTGATTGATTTGCGTATATTGAAGAATCCTTGCATTCCTGGAATAAACCCCACTTGATCATGGTGTATGATCCGTTTAATGTGCTGTTGGATTCTGTTTGCTAGTATTTTGTTGAGGATTTTTGCATCTATGTTCATCAGTGATATTGGCCTGTAGTTTTCTTTCTTTGTGACATCCTTGTCTGGTTTTGGCATCAGGGTGATAGTGGCCTCGTAGAATGAGTTTGGGAGTGTTCCTCCCTCTGCTATATTTTGGAAGAGTTTGAGAAGGATAGGTGATAGCTCTTCTCTAAATGTTTGATAGAATTTGCCTGTGAAGCCATCTGGTCCTGGGCTTTTGTTTGTTGGAAGATTTTTAATCACAGTTTCAATTTCAGTGCTTGTGATTGGTCTGTCCAGGTTCTACTTCTTGATTGGAAGAGCTATTAAATATTTGGGCCATTTTTCTCCTACAACAAATGTTCATCTCAGCACTGTCTATAATAACAAAAAAAAATGGGAGGGGATTCAATGTCTGAGAGTAGAGGACTTGTTAAATAACTCAAACATCCATACAGTGGGATACAATGCAACATTTACAAATGATAGAAAAGAAGAGTTAATACTATCGGGAAATGTTCTCCATATAGAGTTAAGTGGAGGAGAAAAAGAATTACAAAATCTCATTTTATTGAAGCAAAAACGTAACAAAGCATAGGTTAAAAAAAGAGATTGGAAGGACATGCAACAAAATGTGAATCTGAATGTATCTAATGATGAGGTTACTGTTAACTTCTTCTTTATGCTTTTCTGTATAATAGCTAACAATTCTATTGTCTAGCATTTACCTAAGCACTTTATGTATGTTAACTTATTTAATCCTCACAATGACCCAATGAAATAGAGTCTACCAATATCACTGTCCAGATGAGGAACCTACAACACAGGGAAGCTTAATGACATACCTAAAAGTCACACATCAGCGAGAAGGCAGATCCTTGATTTGAATCTAAACTCCATACTGTTAACTACTAATCTCCTTTCTAAGTCAACTGATTTGTCTAGGGTCAGAGTGTGATGTTTGATAAATGGACTATATCATCGGTTTTAAACCTTTTTTTAAAAAAATCACTAAAACCTTTTTATTGCAAATGTAATATACTCCAGAGGTATATAGAATAAAAGATGAACTTCATTCTGCCAGGATCCCAGTACCGTCCTCAGAGATAAACATTATTAGCAGTTGGGTATGTATCCTTCCTGCTCTTTCTTTTATATTCATTTACATACCTAAATACACTGGTGTGTGTGTGTGTGTAAGTGTGCATACGTATGTATACACACATATGAAATCATACTCTACACTTGTTCTTTGGTGAGATTTTGGTAGGCCTTGGAGATCTTACTATGTCCGTCCACACAGATGTGCTTCATTCTTTTTTGTGATTTATCAGCTTCTGCTAAATAGAAGAGTCCCAGAAATACCCTCATGGTGTAGGCTTCCCTTGAGTGGACAGGGTGGGAGCAACGCGTCCGGGGAGAGCTTAAGAAAGGAGAAACATGATCATGAGAGATGTGAAAAGATGACCCCCAAATACTTGTAACTGATTGTATTTGTTTCCTAGGACTGCTGTAACAAAGTACCATGAACTGGATGGCTTAAAACAGAAACTTAAAATGAATTCCCTGGCGGTCCAGTGGTTAGGGTGATGGACTTCCACTGCAGGGGCCGTGGGTTGGATCCCTGGCTGGGGAACTAATGCCGTGTGGTGCAGCCAAAAAAAAAAACAAAAAAACCCCAGAAACTTATTCTCTTACAGTTCCAGAAGTGAGAAGTCCAAAATCTAGGCAGGGCCATGCTCTCTCAGAAGGCCCTAGGGAAGAATCCTTCCTTGCCTCTTCCATCTTCTTGTGGCTCCCAGCAACACTACGTGTTCCTTGGCTCGCAGCCACATCACTTCTATCTCTGCTTCTTCACGAGGGCTTCTCATGTGTGTATATGTCTTGTTCACTTGTCCTCTTCTTACAAGGACACCAGTGATTAAATATAGGGCCCACCCTAATCCAGTATGACCTTAGCTTAATTTGGCTAATTAACATCTGCAAAGACCCTATTTCCAAATAAGGTCTATTCTGAGGTTCCAGGTAGACATGAATTTTAGGGGGGGACCCTGTTCAACCCACTACACAGGCCTACAGTTCCCACTTGAATAAAAGTGTCATTAATACTCAATTGTCAAAAGGCATATTATTCTTCTGAGAATGTATGGATTAATCTCACTAGGTTTTGAGGGGCTTTTAAAAGAAATTCAATGCATTTTCACAAAAATCCAAGCAAACTTTACTTCATTTTAGCTGTGAAAATGAATTTTCATCTCATGGTCAGGGATGCAGAACATCAGAATTTAAGTAAAGGAGCATAATTTAAAGAACTCCCTCCAGGGCTTCCCTGGTGGTGCAGTGGTTAAGAATATGCCTGCCAATGCAGGGGACACGGGTTCGAGCCCTGCTCCGGGAAGATCCCACATGCTGTGGAGCAACTAAGCCCGTGTTCCACAACTACTGAGCCTGTGCTCTAGAGCCCACGAGCCACAACTACTGAGCCCACGCGCCGCATCTACTGAAACCCGCGCTCGAGAGCCTGTGCTCCGCAATGAGAAGCCCGCTCACCGCAACGAAGAGTAGCCCCTGCTTGCCGCAACTAGAGAAAGCCTGCACACAGCAATGAAGACCCAAGGCAACCAAAAATAATAAATAAATAAAAATAAGTAAATTTATAAAAAAAAAACTCCCTCCAAATTTTCACAACATAGCTGAAACATATATTACTATATCTTTACAATTATGCACTTATGTCTTTTGCTTTAATCACAATCCAGCATGTACCTTACAGGACTAAGATTATTTAAGAAGGATCTCCAAGTTAAATTGTTGTTCCTCCAGTCTCCCTCATTCTGAGGGGAGAAACGAGAAATGTTTCAGTTCCTCACCCAGTGCTCTCATCCTATTCTTGGCAAGAAACTGGATGGCCCCTTTAGCATTTTTGGTAGGGGCGGCTCATTACCTCCTGAGACAAACCACTTCACCTCATGACAAGTTCATCTACAAAACTATCATTATGTAGGTTCTATCATCTCTAGGCTTCACACTAGAACATGCAGGCTCAGAGAGGTATGCATATTACGCAAATGCATGAGAAAAAGATGGGAAGGATATATATGAAAGGTTCTGTGTGATTTTCCAAATTTCCCTAAAAGGTTACAGATACAAATGAACTAATTTTTTAAAACTAATTGTGGGGCCATCAGTTCAAGGCCACACAGAAAGCGGCAGAGGCTGGATTGGAACCCATTGCTGGACAAGCCCCTGCGGGGGTGGAATTTTCTGGACTCTCTCCTAGTGACCCTGAGCTCCAGCTTCTCCTGTCCTTCCAGGTCTGGAGGCTCCTCTCACTCCAGATGGGCCTCCACCTCCAGCTTCAGCCCTCATCCCAGAGACTAGGACACAGCAGAGGAGGGTTTGATAGGGATAGGATTATGGTCTTGAGTGAGGCCTGTTCAGAGGCAACTCTGGCACTTCCCAACCTCGTCCTGAGGGCAGCCACCATGGCATTCGCCTTTGTGTCCCCAGGACTAACACGTGGTGAGGAGTTGCTGGAGGAAGGAGACCCAGCGCCCGGAGCTAAGTGATTTAGAGGGCGGGAGGAAAAGCGCTTCAGGGACAGTGGAGAACTCTCCGCCTCGAGGATGGACTGAACGTCCGGATGATAATTACCCTTATTAGCGCTGTCGTCACTGTCACCGAATGTGAGACGCCCCCCTCCCCCAAGGCCAGAGATTGCGCCAGAGCCCCAGCGCGCTAGCGAGCAGGTGACGAAGCCGCTGACGGCCAGAGGGGGAGGGGGGAGAGAAGAGAGTGCGTTACAGTTCTTGAGGCGAGAGCTGTTACGCGATGCACCGCACCCAGGGCGGAGGCGTCCTCTATCCCTGCCCCTCTACCTCCGGACACAAACTCGCGCGCGCGACGCGTCCTCAGGCGCTCCGGGCTTCCCCGTGTCACCTGCAGCCAGGGCGCCCCCCGCGACGCCTTCATTCATTCCTCCTACACTGCAAGCGCAGCGCGGGCCTCGGGGGCTGGGAGAACCGCAGGGCGCGGCGGGCGCTTTGAGCCTGAGTTTCGGCGGCTGCAACAGCGCTGGGGGTGGAGGGCTGCCCTGGTGAGCGCGCGTCGGCCCAGTTACCGAGAATCCTTCAAGAAGAGACCGAGACCCCCAGCCCTGTTGCTGGCGCCGAAACTCGGGCTCAAAGCGCCCGTCGCGCCCTGCGGTTCTCCCAGACCCTGAGGCCCCCATGTGTCACTACGGCACACAGAGGCCAAGAATGGAGACAGATACAGAAGAGCAGAGACACTTAAGAGATAGACGTAGACAGAGACCATGACACAAAGAGATATGGGGCACTGAGACAGAGACACAGACACATGGAGATAGACTGACATATAAATAGGCACAGACAGAAACAGGACAGTCAGAGAAACACAGGCTCCAGATGAACAGTTTAATACCCGAAGAGCAACCCTGTACAAGACCGCGCCAGCCCCGAAGAGCAACCCTATACAAGAGCGCGCCAACGGCGGGGGCACCACCTATTGGCCTGAGCTATTCCCGCGTCCTGCGGGTTCCAGCACATCTCCGCCGTATCCGACCCCCCCCTCCTCGCAGCGCTTCCGGTGTCCGCCTCCTGCACCCGTTGGCCGGTACCATTCGCCCAGCAGCCAGTCCCGCCAATGGCAGGACCCTCCCATTTTCGCTCCTTTGCCTCCGCAGAGAGCTTGGGCCCGCTCCTGTCCGCACACCACCCCACCCCCGCGGCCGGCCTCCCTCCCTGCCCTGGCCGGTGTCCTCCCCACCTCCACTGCGCCCCGCCCGCCGCGCTCTGCGGCAGTCGGGCGCTCATCGTCATTCCGCTCTCGCCGCCGCCGCCACCCCCGCCTCCCCGCGCACCGCCTCCGCCCGGTCCCCGCCGCCGCCGCCGCCGCCGCCTGCCCAGCGGCCCGGGAGGCGGAGGCGCGGGGGAGGAGGCCCCGCTTGGCTCCGCAGCCCCGGATGCTGTATGACTTCATCTTTCCGCCGGCTCCCCTGCTGAGCTAGGGCCGGTCCGGCAGCTAGCCCGCCGCCCGCGCCCCGCCGCAGTCCCGCGCCCACCCCGCACCCGCCATGTCCGAGATCCTGCCCTACAGTGAGGACAAGATGGGCCGCTTCGGCGCCGACCCCGAGGGCTCTGACCTCTCCTTCAGCTGCCGCCTGCAGGACACCAACTCCTTCTTTGCGGGCAACCAAGCCAAGCGACCCCCCAAGCTGGGCCAGATCGGGCGAGCCAAGAGAGGTACGCGGCCGGGGCCCGGAGTCGTCGCTTGACCCAGAAACCCTCCGCCGGGCGCCCCCCGGCTGCAGTTCCCCGCCAAGCGCCAGCAGCTCTTGCCGCAGACCAGCGCAGCCAGCCGCTCGCCGGCCAGGGTTGGAGGGGGGGTCCCTGCTGCAGTGTTGTGTCCCCCTCTTCCCCTCTCCTGGGAAAGCAGTGCCCCGGATTCGATGCTCGCCACCTCTGGAAGTAGAGTCTTGGCACCCGGGCGAAGGGGAGGGGCCGGCCGGGGCATTTGGGGCTGCCTGAAGTGGGAACATGGGGCGACGGGCCGCTTCTTCGGGAGCAAACGCTGAGTCGGTGTATGCTACGGAAGAACCTTCGGGTGGGGAGGGATGTCTGACTGGAGAATGGGCAGGGGGCCGGGGGTTCGCTTGTCCTGGTTGTTTGCATGGGGAAGGGGCTCTGTTAGTGCCAGGATCGGAAGAGGGGTTCTAGCCGCAAGAAGGTTAGGTTGGGTAGAGGGCTGGAATAGATGGAGATTAGGTTTGAGGAGGGAATTCTGTTGAAGTGAGGGTGGAAGAGGGGGATCCCATGAGCAAAAGCTTTCCGATCAGCTCGGATGGAGGAGAGCTCAGGCGGCGGGAGGGTTTGGACCGGAAGGTTGAACGGCTGGAGTCTTTGGAAGAGGGGCGTTCCTCCACAAGGAGAGGAGTGGGTCTGTGGGAGCTGGGGTCAGCAGTGGGTTGAGTCGGCAGGAGAGTTCGGACGGGGAGGTCACTGTAGCACGGAGGTCCGAGGGGCGTCTCTGGGCCACGGGCAGTAGCTGAGCGGGGCGCGGGGACCAGGGCCCCATTCTCGCCGCCGCCCCCCGAGACCGCGCGGCTGACGCGCTTTCTCCCTGCGCAGTGGTGATCGAGGATGACCGGATAGACGACGTGCTGAAGGGGATGGGGGAGAAGCCGCCGTCCGGAGTGTAGACGCGCCGGCTCAGGCGGCGGGCTCCGGGCCCAGCCCCGCGGCGGCCAGGACCGCGGGCCGGCGATGCGGCTGCCGGCCCCCCCCGCCCCGGCCCAGGCGCTCGCGGGCGGGGGCTGCAGGGCCGCGCCGCTTTCGGGTCATAGTCGCTGCCGCCGCCGCCAGGCACTCCGGAGCTGTCCGCTTCAGCACCACGGCGGCGGCGGTAGCGGCGGCGCGGACCGGCCCGGAGCCCGCCGCCGCGCTCATGCACTTTAGAACCTCGGGCCGCAGCCCCACCCCGCACACCGGAACGGACAGAGACCCGCGGCCCTCAGCCCCGGCCCGTCCCCTCCCGCACGGCTCCCCTGCCCCGCCCCTCTCAGGCAGGTCTGGTCCGCAGACCGGCTGCCTGCCGGTGTCGGACCTCGCACGCGGCCAGGGATGTTTGGCTGCACATTTGCATGAGCTTCCCACCCACCTGAGTCCAGCCCTCCAGGCGCTCCTCACCCTCCACCCCTGTCTGGCGTGACCCCAGCCTCAGCCTCTTTCTAAGGGACTTCCTCAGCACATTTGTATTTTTATATCCGACTCTTTGTTTACTGATTCCCCTCGTGGTTCATGCCCCCCCCCCCACGGTCTCGGCCACGCTCTTCTGCGCCTGGCAGATAGGATGGGTGTTGAGGCTGGGATGGGACAAGCCCCTAACATGGTAACCAACCATATGACCAGTCTGCCCATGGCTGACCCCAGGCGGCTCTCTGGCAGACCCCTCCCCTCAAGGTATCACCTTCCAAGGGCCCAGGTCTAATTTTACCTTGGACCCCTGCGTCCTGCCCCTGGGAATCCAAATGTGGGCTGCATTGCATCTTTGGATGACACCTGTAGCCCTAGCCCTGGAGATATTCTCAACCCCAGGGATGTCCTTTGTAAATGTTCCTCCATCCTCACTGTACCAGGAGTGTGTGAATAAACACAGACCCCCCTGTGTGTGCGTGTGTGTGTAGCTGCTGCTTTGGTTTGCTATAGGAGCCAGCCCAAAATGGCTCCAATTCTTTTTGGGGAGGGGAGCAGATACTTGGGAATCTCAGGTGCATGTAACTGACAGAGAAGCGTTGCCAAGTAAACACAGGCAGGTCAGCCTGGCCTGGGAACATCATTACAGCGTGGCCTCCTTGGGTAAATAATACAACCTGAGCAGGATAGGTCACCGGAGTTGGGGCTGGAGCTGGGGTCAGAAGCAATCTAGATTCAAAGTCTGCAGCCTCCTATGAATAAATCCAGGTTGAATGGGGGTCAGTAACAGGCCCCAGGGATACAAGTCTCCAAGTCTGGCTGGCATGCACAGGGGTTGTGCTGAGATTTGCCCCTGGGGATGAATCACTGATGGTTCAGTATGGTGGGGGAGGAAGTTGGGGAATCCAGGAGAGATCTGAGGAGCCTAAGAAGGAAGTCAGAAACCTGAGATTTGGGATCTAGTTTGACCTAGCCTGTATTTTTTTCATGTGGGGTTGCTCCCATCAGCTCTGTCTTAGTTAGGCATGAGGCCCCTGGGATGTGGGCACTTTGGACCTGACCTTAAGCCCTGAGTCAGGAATTCCGAATACTTGAGCCTGGGGCAGAAAGGCAGGAGAACCATGCTTCTGGCCTCACAGCTGAATGGCACTGAGGAAGTCCTCATGATCTGAGTCCTGGAGGAAGCAGGGTGGGGTGGGAGGTCTAGGAGGTGAGAGGATCTGGGCCCCAAGGGCCAGCTGGGCCACACTGAGCTCTTTGCCCTTCTGCATAAGGTAGAAATGGAAGTGGAAACCATTGCCATAGGTTGCATGCCTCAAGGACCAGCCGTAACGAGCTTGGGCGTAGTGTCTTGTCCGAAAGTGGGGGGCAGCAGGGGTCATTGAGATGAACTGGCCCCCAGGGACCAGTACTCGGCTCACCTGAAAGGCAGATAGAGAAGCCATTGGTGAGAAGCCCATCTCCAGGTTCTCAAAGGTCAGTATGGCCCCAGATGCCCTCCCAGTGAAATCTCAGGTACTACCCTCCATCCAGTAGCTCAGGGCTTTCCATGGCAAAAGAGTGAGGCTTCCTCTCTGCCCCTGGTTGTTCCGTGGGGGTAGGGCTATATTTTAAACAGGTAGGAGCATAGGAGTGATGTCAGGTGCAGGGGGCACTGCCTTCCTGTCAGCTGCTTACCTTCCCTACCTGGAACCTGGCCGCTACCTCATCTCTATGGCAACACAGTATTCAATCCTCAGCCTCTGTGAGCCTGGCCACTCCAGCCCCCTACAATCTCGATCCAGCTTAACACCCGCTTCCTTCAGGTAACCATAGTCCCGAAGGGACCCACTACTTGTTCCAAACCATGCCTCCTTCTGCCTTCTGAGTTCTTCTAGTCTCCTAGAATCTTAACCCCTCATCCCCACCTCTTGATCAGCCATCTTTCCCTTGGTGCTCCCTCACCTCACTCAGCACCTGGTCCACAGTGTGGATACCTTCAGAGGACACATTCCAGGGATCCTGTTCTCCAGTCAACAGGGCATCCAGCGTGCCCTTCTCGAGCACCACGTCAAAGGAGCCACTGGGGAAGCCCAGTGCCCGCACGTCCATGGTCTCCCAGCGCAGCTCGGGCACGTGGGCATATCGAGCCCGCATGGCAGCCACCACTACTGATGAGTAGTCCACACTGGTCACATCAGGGAAGCCCCCAAGGAATAGTTCGTAGCTCAGGGCACTGTTTCCACAGCCTGGGGTGAGAAGGGGTGGATGACAAAAGGTCTAGGTTAGCTTTGGTTCTCACCTCCCCAATTATCCATCCACTCTTGGCCTGTTTTCTCTCAGCTCAAACCCTCCCGTACCGAGAGAGAAGTAGCACGGTACAAGAGCATGAGCCTTAGAGTCATACAGATCTGGGCACATATCCTGGCTCTATCATTCCTGGCTGTGTGGACTAAAGCAAGTCATTTACATACTAGGAACTTGGATTTCCTGGTCACAAAAAGGAAGATAACAATACCTAGCCTACATGTAGGATGTGATGTTCTAAATTTAAAAACTAAACAGCTGAAGAGTAGGAGCTTTGAACTTAGGAGTTCAAAGATTTGGGTTCTGATATCTCTAGTCATACAGTCATGGCAGGTCATTCAACTCAGCCTCAGTTTCCTCAGACTCAGAATGGGGATAATATTGGCATCATAATATTATTAATAGGATAATGCTAGTAGTATCCTAATTCCTAACCTCTCAGAGATCCTCTGATGATATCAGCCCTGGGAAGACTTCATGTTAGGGGTTTTTATCTTACTTTGCTTTCCAAGGCAGAATTAACAAGTGAAGGGGAAACTAAGTGGGGACACACAGTGGAGATGATTCCTTGTAATTTCTTCATGTATGACTGAGCGCCACATATTGGGTTCTGCTGATGAATAAAGAGCTTCTGCCCTCAAGGAGCTGATGCTCTGGTGAGAGGAACAGATGTGCAGTCAGAAAACTGCCACATAATGCAATGAGAGTTTCAACAGGGACAGGCTGCAGGAGCACATAGGACAGTCCCTGTCCCCACCTTAGATGGGTGGGCCAACAGGATCGGGGGAACTGACAACCAGTCAGAGTCTTGAAGAATCATAACACTCTGGTGGGAAGTGCCCAGAAAGCAGTCCCAAAGTGGTGGAGGGTGGAGGTTAGAGGAGTGGATGTGGACCTACTGCCCAGTGGGCATGGCTTCCTTCAAAGATCTGTTGGCCTCTTCCAGGCCCTCTTGTGGTCAGTATCAGCCCAAGAACAGGCCTGGATGACAGTTCTTGGTGGCCTCACATGGGGATCCCCAGCTCTTGGGATTAGATTGCCTTTAATCCCCATTTGCCTCCCTAAGAGGATCACAGAATCAGCTGTTGGGATAGCCCTAATCCAGCAGGCAGAGTTTGGCACCTGGACAGGTGCCAGAGACTGCTGGCTGGTCCCCGGCTGCCCCTTCTTGTGTTCCTCCTCAGGCTCTGGGGCTCAGGAAGAGTACAATCTTACCTGGGAAAACCCAATGTGTGCGTCCCAACACTGGAACCACAACAGGCTCTGGCACGGGAGGTGAGGGTGGCTGAATAGGAGACTCTAACCCAGTTCAGCCTGAAATCCCACTGGGTTCTCTGACCACAATGCCTTCATCACCCAACACCTGACCTCATATGCCTGCAGAGCTCTGCCTAACTGTGGACAAACACAAATTTCCTTCCTTCGTTTCCTTTGGTACAGGAATGGTATCTCCCAAAACAACTTTATTAAAGATGAATGGAAAATAAAACTTGACCACAGGACCAGTTATGCCTACAAAGCAGTGACTTGGGGCTAACAACTAAGATGAGGCTTGGAACCGCCACCGCTTCCCTAGGTGGGGCCTTAGGGAAGCAGAGCTCTGGAGAACTGAGCCAGATCCAAGAACCCATCATATGGGAGCCCAGAGCTATGTGGATGCTATCCCAACACCAAGAGACTGAAGTGTAAACCAGAATATCAATTCGCTTATTTATAATAGGAAAAAATACCCATCATGGGGTCTGGACAGTCAATCCTCTGGTCAGTCCCTTGTGTCTCTATAGGAAATGCAAATTGAAGCCAAATTATAATCAGAAGATTCTACAGAGCATGGAGTCAAGCAAGAAGAGAGAATCAGAGAAGTATAATGACAGCAAAACTGGGACGGCCACATGAACTCATCTGTAATGAGGAATCTAGCCATAGGGACCAGACACACAAGTCTTCAGGCAAGGTACTCTTTCTCCGAGCAGTCCTGGAGAATGTGCCTCTCTGACTCCCATTTTCAATAATAATAATGATAGCTAACAGTTTTTGAACACTAGGTCCCATGCTGAGTACTTTATAAGGATTATCTCAGTTTATTTTCCCAGTAGCTCCATACTGAAGATTCTATTATAAAAACCATCGCCATTTTCTAGTTGTGACACCAACTGTATAGCCTGAAAGACCTAAAATATTTACTATTTGGCCATTTTTCAGAAAAAGTTTACTGAACCCTAACCTAAAGTAGTTCTCATTATATTTATCACTAACCTCTAGGGGTTGCCATGAGGATTAAATAAGTTAGAAAGGGCTCACCACATTCCCTAGCACCTACCAGGTGTTCAATTTGTTTGTTTAGGTGGAATGTAACATAGGGTAGCCCCCAAGCTGTGGGTCCTGTTCTTAGATCTTGGGAATCCTGTCTGGAAAGTTTTTCTTTTTGATTTTTAGACTTTTCCCTCCTCTATCCAGAAAAGGATATCTCCCAATCGGGCAGGACTTAAGGCAGTGTTACTCTGCCAATTACCAGCATGAGAATCAGTCTGTGGGCTTGTTGAAAATACAGACCCCGGGACCCGCCTTAGACCATCCCTGGAATTATATACTCAGAGTGGGGTCCAGTTTTCCAGGTTATTACACTAAAGCTTGAAAAACATAGATCTACGGTAAATCTATAAATAAATGCAATTGTTTAAAACCACAAAACTCAAGAGAGGTTTTACCTCTGAGGGGAAGAGGTTTGGGGGACCACACAGAAAACCTTGGATATACAAGGCTTTTTATTTTGTCAGGCTTTTTTCTAGTTATCTTTCATACTCACTCAATCATCTTAAAAACCTGATAAATAAGTATGTACTCTTACTTTTTTTTTTTTAAGGCTGAGAAAATGGAGGCACAGAAATTTAAGTATTTTGCCCATGATTCCACAGCTAAGATGTCATGTGCTGAGATCCCTACATAATTAGCTGCCTCCAGGGTTCAAGTTCTTAAGCACTTTCTAGTCCTAGGAATGCTGTATTTCTCAAACCGAGTATACACACACATTCAAGTTATTATATATACCTTACATATATACTGTATTATAAATGTCTCATATATGTGAAATATTTCACTTAATACATGGTTTTAAAAATAGCAAAATAAAAACTATAATTGGAAGGAAATCCGTTGTTTAATCAAACTTCACTGGAGCCCCCAAGGCTGGCAGTGGAAGGAGAACCCCAAGGGGGGCAGGTGGACCTCTCAGAGCCCCACCTGAAACCCCAGTACTTATTCCTTTTGGGGAGTCACACCAATCTCGGCTGCAATCTCCCCTCAGAGGGAGCTGTCCTCATCCTCACTGCACACGGTGGGATGGGGGTGGGGACGACGACGACATAGGACCAAGTTTCAGTTAGAGCTTGGAGAGTCAAGAGATAACTCTCTAGGCGACAATGGCTCATGGTGCCCAGTGGCGCACACAGAAAAGCGCTAGGCATTGCGCTCAAGGTGCCTGCACGTGCCTTATCCGACTTGATTTCGCAGTCCCATTTCTAGAAGTGAATCCGGGGCTCAGAACAGGCTCATGATTTGTCCTAAGTCCTACAGTCAACTAGCGCTGGGACTTGAACTAGTTACTGTGAACTCTCCAGTGCTCGAGGCTGCCTCCCCAGGGTCCGGAAAGGGGTCATGGGTCACCTACCACACTCAGACTCAGAGAGACTGTCTTTCTCCTGGAGGGTCCCCGGACTAAGAATCTCTTGGCTCCTGTTTGCCCTGCCTAAATACTGCCGAGATTCTAAAGGTACTGGATCCTGACTTCTGACTGGGGAGTCCTCTGAGAGGGGCAGGCAGGAGCGAGGGGCGGGGCCAGTCCAACCAGCTCCACCTGGGCTGGGCAGCCCCGGGACTACCCACCTAGCACGAGGATACGGTCCTCCGGCCTCAGCTCCGGCTCTAGGAGGTCACGGAAGGAAGAGAAGTCCCCGAACCACTCGTAGGGAGCAGAGTCGGCAGCGTTCCGGTAGCGCTGGTCCCAGTACTGGACCTCGCGGTACCCACAGTTCTTCTCTGGTAACTCCGGCAGCGGCGCCCAGACCCCAGGACAGGCCATGATTGCGGCTGCCGGGCCTTGAAGACAACTGGCCCCCACGTCTGGGCGGGGCTTGGTCCCTCATGTAGCCAATTGGAATGGCTGCATATAGGAGGCGGGACCCTTGTGTCTCCGCCCAGCACCAGCAGTTGCTCAACATAAACACGTGGAACTTCCGTCCTCTGCTAAGCGCTCTTGGAAGAATCCTCCGGGTGGGAAAATAATATCGTCCAGACCCTGAATCCTCTGGATGCGCTGCTCACTAACTTCTGAGAGCCACACTCATGGTGTCAGACTCACTCCGGCTCGTCATTGCCCCTCTCATATCTTCAGTTTGGCTCCTTCCATTAAGAAGTCTGAAAATTAATGAAACATTCATTTCTTCCTAGTTTTGAGCACCCGAAAGGCTCTGGGGGGTGGCGGGAGTAGCGCGGACAGAGTTCTTGCTCTCCAGGAAAGACTGGCATGAACGCAGATATTACCAACATAGGCGAAGTGTTATGCTAGGCGGGGGAGGTGCGGAGGAGGGGGGGAGACATGGCGTGGGCAGGAATGTTACTTTTCTGGACAAACGTTCGATCCACATTACCTCTTGTGTGCCCAGGGCTAAGTGTGTACTGAGGAGTAAGACTATTCCTGCTCGTATGGAGCACGCAGTCCATCAAGGGAGACATGTGGAAGAAGTAGATTTTAGTGGAGTAAATAAGGACTCCGGCAACTCCAGTCAGCCCTCGGTCCGTTGGGGCACGCGGCGCGGGAAGCGGAACCTAAGTACCAAAGAGTCGGGCTTCCGGGGTAGCGGGCCCGCAAGTGCGGCGCACCTTCAAGATGGCGGCAGGCCTGAGGAAACGCGGCCGGGCAGGTCCCGCAGCTCGGGCGGTGGGACTGTGCGGGCAGTGGCTGCGGCGCGCCTGGCAAGAGCGGCGCCTACTGCTGCTGGAACCGCGCTACACGCTGAAGGTGGCCGCCTGCCTCTGCCTGGCGGAGGTGGGCATCACCTTCTGGGTCATTCACAGGGTGGCATGTGAGTGCGCCGAGGGGGAGAGGAGGGTGGGAAGGGGGACCGAACCCCCGACCAAAACTGGGACCCACATTCGGAGCTCAAACTTAGACCCCTGATCCACTCAGTCATCAGTTGCAGACTCGTATCTTTTACCCAAATCCTGCTCCGCGGAGAGCCAAACCCGATCTTAATCCCTCCCAGAAAACCTGGGTCCCAGTTAATGGCTGCTGCTGCTGTTTGTCTCTGTGGCTTTGGACACGTCACTTCCCTTGCTGGGTCTCAGTCTTCTCATCTGTTCAATTCTGAGGTCTGGAAGTCTCTTCTCAGTGATGGCATTTTCTGACGGTTTGAGTCTGTTTGGCATTATTGGTGACTCCTCTCCAGGCTGAAAACACTGGACTTAAGGCTTACTTGCTAAAGACATATTTCAATACATATTTATTGAGTGCTTATTATATGGCTTACACTATGCTAGGTACCAAGGGTACAGTGGTGAAAAAGATAGACACATTTCCTACTTACGTGTGTGGGCCTGGACAAAGATAACAGAAAATTACAACACATCATATTCATCATGATGGTAGTAGACAGGGTGCTTTAAAGGACATAGGAGGGCATTTAATGCAGACTTGAGGAGTCAGAGAAGGCTTCCGAGAGAGTGCTCCTCGAAAGATAAGAGCTAGTTCCTTGAGGAAAGAGACAAAAGGGGTGTGTGTGTGGGGGAAGAGTACTCTAGGCAGAGAGAATCCTGTATCAAAGAGCTCCTGTCAAAAGAGAAAGTCTGTTTCCTTTGAGGAACTGAAAGAATTTTTTCAGAGCTGGAACACAGAAATCAAGTGAGGGTAGTACTAAGAGATGAGATTGCAGAAGTCAAGACAAGATCATGAAGGAATCTGTACGCTGTGTTAAGGAGATAGTTAGCATGGTGTTTAAGAATTTAGAGCTCCATGTGTTCCAATCTCAACTCTACCCTTCCTAGCTCAGTGTTCTTGAGCTAGTCACTTAACCTTATTAATTCATAATTTCATCTTCTAAAAATGGGAAGAATAGAATTTGGTCTTTATCTTAAGAGCCTTGGGGAATCATTGAAGAGTTTTAAGCAGAGAAATGTGATATGATTTCTATTATAGGATGAGCTCTCCGGTTGCAGGGTGGAAAATATATTGTAGTGGGGTGAAAGTGGAAGCTGGGAGCCTCGTTAGGGAGTTCTTGCACCATTGTGGCTAGAGATTATGTTAGGCCCAAATTTGAGTGCATGATAGCAGAGAAGGATGAGATAGTAGAGATATTTAGGATAAAGAATAGGCAGGGGGCTTCCCTGATGGCACAGTGGTTGAGAGTCCACCTGCCGATGCAGGGGACACGGGTTCATGCCCCAGTCCGGGAAGATCCCACATGCTGCAGAGAGGCTAGGCCCGTGAGCCATGGCCACTGAGCCTGCGCGTCCGGAGCCTGTGCTCCACAACGGGAGAGGCCACAACAGTGAGAGGCCCGCGTACTGCAAAAAAAAAAAAAAAAAAAAAAAAAAAAGAATAGGCAGGACTTGGTGACTGGGGGTTGGAAATGAAAGAGAAGGAAGTATCAAAGGTGTTTCCCAGGTTTGTGACTTGAGCAGCTGAGGGGTTAATGGTACCATTCATGGAACCCAGGAAGGGGAGCAGATTTGGAGTGGAAGGTTATGAATTCCATTACAGACATGTTTGAGTTTGAGATACCTGGGTTCACCCAGAGAATGTCAGATAGGCCTTTAGAGAAGGGGTTATGTTAGAAGTCCCGAGGATGAGCTGGAACTCTGTGCTTTGATGGGCTGAGGCAGAGAAATTCTGAACCTGGAAGTAACCACACCATCCTGTCGTTTTCCAGATACAGAGATTGATTGGAAAGCCTACATGGCTGAGGTGGAGGGCGTCATCAATGGCACCTATGACTATACTCAACTGCGGGGTGACACTGGACCTCTTGTGTGAGTGGGGATCGGCTGTTCAGTGAGGATGGGAGGGGCTGACTGGATGCCAGGCTGGATAGCTTGACCCAGACTCACGTTCTTTCTCCTCTTCCAGGTACCCAGCCGGCTTTGTGTACATCTTTATGGGGCTATACTATGCCACTGGCCGGGGCACTGACATCCGCATGGCCCAGCACATCTTCGCTGTGCTCTACCTGGCCACTTTGCTGCTTGTCTTCTTGATTTACCACCAGACCTGCAAGGTGAGTCCTCACTACCAGGAACAGGGGGCCCCAAACTGGGAGGGCTGGGGAGTGGGGATGGTTCAGGGTTGGTGAGCTGACCTTTTTCCCCACTGTGCCCACCTCTCAGGTACCTCCCTTCGTCTTTTTCTTCATGTGCTGTGCCTCTTACCGTGTCCACTCCATCTTTGTGCTGCGGCTCTTCAACGATCCAGTGGCCATGGTGCTGCTCTTCCTCAGTATCAACCTCCTGCTGGCCCAGCGCTGGAGCTGGGGCTGCTGCTGTTTCAGGTCAACACCCCTCCCTTCTGGCCCCCTCTTTCATTTTCTGTATTCCATCGCTTTCTCCCCAATTTTCTGCAGCAGAGGAAGTAAGGGAGTGGCCAGACAGTGTAGGTCAGTTAGGGCCATACTAGGTGAGTCCAGGATGTGTAGAAAGTCTTCACCCCCAGGCCCCCTACACACACACCCTCTTCCCATCCTCTGTTTCCTCCAGACAGCATCTGCTGTTGGCGTTGGTCATTGCACTTTCTAAATACTCAATATATGTTTGCTCACTTAGTCTGAGTGTAGAGACAAGGTATGAGCACCCTACTCCCAGCCTCTTCCCAGGCTTCCTTATCCTCCCTCCAGCAGTTCTGAGTATGAGTGCCCACCCTCTGCCTGGAGCTTGCTGGCAGGGGAGAGGAGGAGTTGCTGTGGTGATGGTGGGCTGTACATCTTTGGGTGGGGTGCATGGCCCTGGAGCTGATCTCCGCTCTCCTCTCCCCTATCCACTGCAGCCTGGCAGTCTCTGTGAAGATGAATGTGCTGCTCTTCGCCCCTGGGTTACTATTCCTTCTCCTCAGGCAATTTGGCCTCCGTGGGGCCCTCCCCAAGCTGGGCATCTGTGCTGTCCTTCAGGTATTCCCTCCTTACCCTTTCCCCTTTCTAATGAAGTGGAGGCCACTCTGTCTGGCCTCCTTTCATCCTTGAGACTTCCTCAAAGACAAGAGACAGAGTTTTGGAGTTGATTCTGATCTGGGCAGCCACCACCTCTAGGCTTTGGTTTCTTTAGCTGTCAAACAAGGGTGTTGAACTACATGGTCTCTGAGAGCCTTTCTAACTCTGCGCATTTATGACTTGGTGAATCCAAACTTAAAGCACTGTTATTACCTGCTTCTTTGGCCCAAGGCTCTTGTCTGGGTGGGTGGGCTGGCTTTCTTGCTATTCCTAGTGGGAGTTAGGGATCCTCTGAGACCTATACCCTGTTCCCCCTCCTCTCAGTGATTAGCATGAGGCTGAGGGTGAGCCTGGGCAGCTCTGTTGACATCACACCCATCCTCAGGTGGTGCTGGGTCTACCCTTCCTGCTGGAGAACCCCGTCGGCTATGTATCCCGCTCCTTTGACCTTGGCCGCCAGTTTCTCTTCCGCTGGACAGTGAACTGGCGCTTCCTCCCCGAGGCCCTCTTCCTGCATCGTGCCTTCCACCTGGCACTTTTGACTGCCCACCTCACCCTGCTCTTGCTCTTTGCCCTCTGCAGGTGGCACAGGTGAGAAAGGGGAGCAATTTCATGAGCAGACATGGGGGAAGGAGTGAAAGGCGTAGGCCTTAGGGGCTGCATGGGGAGATGTTGAGCTCCGCTTGGCCCACATTGGGGGCTTGATAAATGTCTCAGTGGCTTCTCCCCAGGACAGGGGAAAGTATCCTGTCACTGCTGAAGGATCCCTCCAAAAGGAAGTTTCCACTCCAGCCCCTCACACCCAACCATATCCTTTAAATCATGGGAAGGTAAGTTTTGCCCTCTCCAGCTGAAGTTGGGGTCCTTGTCAACTAGCCCTGCATGGCTGGTGACCTGGGAGAGGGAAAAGGAGATAGCAGTAATAGCTACAGGGCCCATTCATAGAGCTCTTACCAATACTGTGCTGAGCACTTTACATATTTAAGCATTTTTTATTCTTTATTCTAAATATTATTGAGTTACCATTATGAGTGCTCACTCTCTGCCTGGTGCTGCCCTAAGAGGTTTACATACATTCTAACATTTAAAGCTCACAAGAGACTCTGTTTTATCCTCACTTTACAGATTTTAAAGATGGGAAAATTAGGGCTTTAAGAAGTTAAGTAATTTGCCAAGGTCACATAGCTAGTAAGTGATGACTCGTTAGGCGTTAGGGCTCTAGATATTACTGCCTCCACATCAGACTGAGGAATAGGTCCAGAGAGGTTAAGAAACTTGCCCAAAGGTATGCATCTAGGAACAGCAGAGCCAAGGGGCTATCTGACCCCAAAACTTTTGTCCCTCTGCTTTGAAACCTCCCTACCCCTTCTGCTCCTGCCCTTGGCCTTGACCACTGTATACAGATTGTTTCTGCCCTCTTCACCTCCAACTTCATTGGCATCTGCTTCAGCCGCTCCCTTCACTACCAGTTCTACGTCTGGTATTTCCACACACTGCCCTACCTCCTGTGGGCCACGCCTGCACGCTGGCTCACACACCTGCTCAGGTACCAGCTGGGACAACCTGGGGGCGTGGGAAGGGGTAGGGAGCTCCTCATCCCAAGACTGTGACCATGGAGGGGCAGGGGGTGAGCTGAAGTGCTGCAGGCCTAGAACCTGGACGGACCTGGAGCTTATTTCTCATCTCCAGGTTGCTGGTGCTGGGGCTCATTGAGCTCTCCTGGAACACATACCCATCCACGTCCTGCAGCTCTGGTGCCCTGCACATGTGCCATGCTGTCATCCTGCTGCAGCTCTGGCTGGGCCCCCAGCCTTTCCCCAAGATCATCCAGCACAGCAAGAAAGCCCACTGAGATCCATCTCTTCCCCTCCAGTCTATTCTCAGGACCCTGGATGGGGATGGACTGTGTGCCCTTCCCAATAAACTTTCTGAAGTCCACTTCTGTGCAGCCTACATGGAGGTACCTGGACCAAGCTGTGAGGGACAGGCACGCAGCAGATAAAGAACTCATTCAGACAGTCCTAAGAGGCACTTTATTGCGTAGGATTTAGGGACTGTGGCTCTCTCCCCTTCTACTGCACTGCACAGAGCTCAGAGGGGAAGGGGCATGGGGCGGAAGGAGCAGGAGAGAGCACAGGCAGGCACTTTTTGTGGGGCAAGAGGATTTTGTGAAGGGAATGAGAAGCAGTAGGGGCGGACTGTCACCAGCCCACCCCTTCCCAGCACCAAGAGGCCGGCTCTGGGTGGCAGTGACTTGAGTTTGTTGGGGGGTGCCAGCCAGAGCAACCAGTGACCCTCACATGTTTGCTGGGCTGTAGCACAGCAGGTGCAGCTGCAGGTTCTGGTCCCAGTGGCGCAGCAGCAGGAAGAGACCCCGGGCTGCGGCCTTGAGGTTGGCCAGGTCGAGGCCGTCGGGCAGGTGCTGGGCCTGCAGCCAACAGTCAGCCTTAGCTGCCGCCAGTTCCCACTCGCCGAAGGCCGCGGCACAGCGGTGCTCCAACCACGCAAGCGCCACAGCAGTGGCCCAAGTCCGGCCCCGCAGGTCGGCACCACCAGGCCCTTCCGCCCCCTCCGAGGCCTCGGTGTCTGAGCCCCGGCCACTGTCCACCTGGCCTGGACCCTCAGAGCCTGAACTGGGGGATGGGCTGCAAGAGGCTGTGGCACTGTCACCCTGGCCAGCACCATGGCCTAGAAGTGCCCAGGGAGAGGAGGCCGAGGTGGGGCTGAGGCTGGTGCGATGCGCAGCGAAGGGCGAGGCGCGGCACAGGCGCTCCCGCGAGATGCGCACCGCTGTGCAAAACGGCGCGTCTAGGCGGAAGGAGCCAGGTGCCTCCTGCAAGCGCACCTGAGGAGAGAGGAGGTGGGGGGAGAATCGAGCTGAGACAGCGCCCTGGCCCTGGCAGTGCCACCCTCCACCTCCCGAGTCCTCACCAAGGGCAGGTAGTCATGGTTGCTGCCTTCACTGTTGCTGTCACTGGCTTGGCCCGTGTTGGGGCTGCAGAGTCTATGGCTGTCTGGGCCTCTGGCCTTCTGACGGCCCAGGCTGAGCCGAGAGGGAGGCTCAGGGGGCAGACGATGAGGACCTCCGATGGGGGCTGCGCGGTCCCCCAAAGCAGAACTGGAGTTGCCAATTTGGTCCGGCTCCCAGCCGCCTGCCAGAGAGCCTCCCTTAAGTCCTGAACTGGAGCCATTCAGTGGTGGTCCCTAAGCCTTGGTTGGTCCCTACCATTTACCCAAACTTGAGTGTTACCTTTAGAGTGGACGGCTGTGGGCAGAGGAGCTGCATCTAGATGACCTTGAGAGGCAGGAGGGGTGCCTGGGGGTTCGGCTAGCTCTGCAGGGGCACAGAAGACAGGGGTGAGGTATGTCTCAGAGGGTGGCCAGTGAGATGAGAACCCGCACCTGGGAGGTCACCTGGAAGGGACCTTACCTACCTGAGCTGTGCACCTGCAGGGCTGAAGGTAGGACCTCTCTGGTGGTAGCATCCACAGCTACAGGGCAGGTGAAGCAGGAAGGGGCAGAGCTGACCTTGCTTGTCTGAAGGGCTCGGAGCCAGGGCCTCCGGGCATGACCTGCAAAACCAAGGGGCCGGGCTTCCCTGGTGGCGCAGTGGTTTAAAATCTGCCTGCCAATGCAGGGGACACGGGTTCGAGCCCTGGTCCGGGAAGATCCCACATGCCACAGAACAACTAGGCCCGTGAGCCACAATTACTGAGCCTGCGCATCTGGAGCCTGTGCTCTGCAGCAAGAGAGGCTGTGATAGTGAGAGGCCCGCGCACTGCGATGAAGAGTGGCCCCCACTTGCCGCAACTAGGGAAAGCCCTCGCACAGAAACGAAGACCCAACACAGCCATAAATAAATAAAATTAAAAACAAAACAAAACAAAAAAAAACCCAAGGGGCCACATGTTGACTGGGAGGGGGGTGTGCTCCCAGCACCCACTCTCTACAAAGGGCTTCACAGAAAAAATCTCAGTGCTCCCATAGCTTCTCCCTCTGTACATATTTTTGGGTTTTTTTGGCTGTGCCTCCAGGCTTGCGGGATCTTAGTAGTTCCCCGACCAAGGATTGGACCTGGGCCCCAGCAGTGAAAGCACTGAGTCCTAACCACTGGACCACCAGGGAATTCCCAGCCTTCTGTCCACTTTTGAACAGAGTGGAGTTCCTTCTTGGGGTCAGCTCAGACTCCTCAGCTTTGACAAGAAGTGGTTAGGCTGAACACTCAACCACATTGTACCAGGACTAGGCCCCTGGCCACCCACAAAGTCAACATTCTGGATACAGCCCAGGGGAGGCATTGACTGGTACCTTTTCCATCCACTCATTTCAGCACTGCCCAACAGAACTTCCTGCAATGATGGAAATGTTCTACATCTGCATGATCCAGTATAGTAGCCACTAGTCCCATGTGACTATTAAGCATTTGAAGTGTGGCTAGTGCAACTGAAGAACTGACATTTTAACTTTATTTAATTTTAATAATCTTCCTAAATGACAGATTTGTTTTTATGTTATGGGCACTGTGAATCATTACAAGATGAAATTCCCTCTCTGTTGGCTGCTAGGAAGCTTGCCAGTTTGGGGTCCCATGCTTGCAAGGGCACAAAACCTCATGGTGTGCATCTTTGATATAATCTCATTCTCTGCTTCCTTTTATTATCCCTTTTTTCCCCATTGCCCTGCTTAATTTTTTTTTCTTAACAATGTGGGTGAGCCGCCTCAAATCACTTGTGAGCAAGGTGAGGTATGGCGAGTGATCCCACAGACCTATGCCTCTGCCACTCTCTGTCCCATACAGGCTCCTTGAGCCCTGACTGGGGCCACCAGCAACTCACCCCGGTCAGCCCTGGTCTCGCCCCGTCCTCGGAGAGCCAGCTGCTCGTTGTCCCGGACCACGGAAGCCGCTGTCAGTCGATGGAGTGCTTGGTCCCAAGCATTTCCGCTTTCAGGGGGTGACGGAGGCAGTGAGCCAGCATCCCTAGGCCCCCACAGCATCTCCAGCCCAACGCCCACCTCCCAGCTCATAGGCTGCTCCCCGCACAGGGCCCGGATCACCACATGGCAGCGCGGAGGCTGGGGAGGCAGTGGTATTGCTGGAGGGGCCAACTCCCCACTGGGGGGAACAGCCGTGAACAAGAAGGGTGGTTCCATCAACATGTCCCAGTCCATGGGGGCTGGGGAGAGCAGGTTTCCTGGGGAGAGACGATGGTAGGAGCAGGGGCAGTGGAGTGCCCTGGGCTCCACCTCCCCAAAGTCTACGTGGTGTCAGAACCCAGCTCCCCATAACCCTTACCTGAGTCATCCAGGCCCTGTCCCAGCAGCTGCCCTGGCTCAGGGCCTGGCCCATCTGGTGCTACACCCAGAGAGGGGTGCCGGAGATGGCCAGGGACTGAGTTCACCCGGCCGGGGGGCGATGAGAGGCTTTGGCCAGTTAGAGCTGCTCTGTGTCGACGGCCCAGCACCTCAGCACTCAAGGCCCCAGTCTGCATGTGTGAAGGTGGGGGGGGGGGTCCAATGGTCAAGGAATGCAGAGCTCCTGGACATCAGACATACATACACAGCTGGCCACATGCCCCTTTGTCTGGAACCCTGGATGGCTGCTCACCACCCTTAGGGGTGAGGCCAGACTCCTTCTGGTGCCTGACCCCCTTCCCATCGTCATCTCACTCCATGCCTATGTCTCAGTTGAGGTTATTGCTTGTCTGTTTTTATTCATGTCTTCTCCCGTTTTGCCTAGCTAACTTCTTATTCTTCCAGAGGTGCCTCTTGCTTTCCTGACTTCCTCAGACAGGGTTAGTCACCTTGACTCTGAACCCCCATAAAGCCACATCCCTGTGCTCATCAATGTATGTTGCATGGATTCATCACTATACATTATACCATCATTACCCATCTATTTCTTCAGGTAGACTTCATAGTAACCACTGCACAATTTATGGCATACAGCCAATGGTCAATAAATATTTGCTGGATACATGGTAGATGGATGTGGATTGAATCTCACCTTGACTGGAGCCAGTGGGGGTGGAGGCAGGGGGCAGGAGTGGGAGCCAGCAGATTCTCCCCAGGCCAGGCTGCGGCAGCCCTGCTGAGAAGGGGGATCCAGGGGAGCACTGCCTTCGGGGGACCCAGGGCCCTGCGAGACGGGGGACTCGCTGCTGCCTGTGGAGCCTGGGCCTGGCTCTGGGCTGGCAGAGCAGTGGGTAAGCACATACTGCTCCCGGATGTACGAGGACTGGAAGATGCGGCGCCATATGGCTGTGTCAGAAGAGGGGTTAGGTCCAGGGTCCGTGACTGGGTCTGTCAGAGCATCAGTACCTATTGGGAGGCAGGAGAATAGATTCCAGCCCTGGCCCCTCCCACTGCCCACTCCTCCTCCAACACACATACACTCAGGCACTCACTCCGATCTGAGTCCCCAGCAGCCCACGGGCTGGACAGCTCTGCTGACACAGTGCCTGTTCCCAGTGGCTCTGAGGTGCCAGTGGGCTCGGTGCCAGGGCTGGTGGCAGATGGTGCTTCCTCTGGGGATGGGAACACGGAGCTGCCCAAGCTCTGCCAGCCAGGCTCTTGGCCCTGGAGAGGGATAGACGTTGGGGGAAAAACAACAACAACTGATTATAGTTATACACTACCTCTTTCCAAACAGGATTTAAGATGACTCACTGCAAGAGGCGATAAAGATAATAAACCAGAAGTGAAAGCCCAGTACTAAGGAAAGAGGAAGCATACATGCTGACCATAGGGTTACTAGAGATGCTGTGGCTGAGCTGCAGGTTTGGCCCTGAGCTTCCTGGCAGCCAGGGAAAAAGACCAGCAGTCCATTATACAGCTCTCCTGATCAAAAAGTAGGAAGCATGCTTGGTTCTTCTAGAGAGATAAAGCTTTTCATAATAAAAATAACAGTCATTTATCCAACTCCTCCTATGTGTCAAGTATCCTACCAAGAGCACACATGTTATGACTTCTAATTACAACCTTATGAAAAAAATCAGTACAAGGAAATGGGCTCAGAGAGGTTAAGTGACTTGTCCAAAATCAAATGGTTAGTACATGGCAGAGTTGGGATTTGAGATTTCACTTAGACAATGCTCTGTCTGTCCCTGAATGTTACAGGAAATAATCCAGATGGTGCTTTTTGCAGGCACTGTGTGAAGTAATGAGCAAGTTTCAACAAAAACCTTGAAACTAATGCTGGCGCTGTTCCCTGTAACTGTGTGCTTTAGTGACCAAGGGTAGCACTTTACAGGACAGCTCAGTGGAAGACCTTATGAGGGAGGCAGGCTGCAGCCACCTTGAGGGACCCAGTATCGTCTCTAAGGAGGTCTAGTGGGTAGCAGTAGGAGCGTTTGGCAGAGAGAGGCACAGGGAATAGGAAATGGGTTTTGCAGAGATGCAGGGGCTTCAGCCATCCCAGGCCCACCTCCCACACCCCAGCCCAGGCTTACCCCTAGGGGGCGGGACCGGAAGCTGTCCACCCTGAAGAGTGAGCAGTAACCGAGCAGCTGGTCCCCAGGATAGAGCGCTGGGATCTCCCGGGGCGTCAGCAGTGCCTCCACCGCATCGGGCACAAACCAGTCCACAGAGATGTCGCTCAACGCAGGCTCCAGTGCCTTCCGCAGGGCCTGCACCAGCTGTGAGGAGTGACCAGAGGGAGGCCATGGGAGAGAAAGAGGTGCCACACAGCCAACAGACTGGGAAGGCTGCCCTTCTGCTGATGCCATCTACCCAGCCTCTGGCTGAGGGGAGCAGGGTCCGGCTGGGGTTGGGGGAAGGAATGGGGGTAGGAACAAGCAAGGGGACTGAGTGTTCAGTGCTCAGGGCTCGGTGCTTCTCCTGGCCTGAACTGTGCCACGTGGATAAGGCAAGACTTTTCAAAGATATGGCTTAGTACCCGGACAAAACTGAGAGCAAGATTTGGGAAGCAGTCAGAGGCCATGTCCCCCACACTTCCAGCCTCCTGCAGCACCCCACAGCAGGGTGCCTGGAGACCCCACGACCTGACCAGGTTCTGTTTCAGACTCAGTGCAACTTGGGAGGAGGACTTAGACGCATAGGGAACAGGGCCCAGGCTCAAGCTCACCATGGGCTGCAGCCTTTCCCCAGGCCTCAGGAAGTAGGCCTGGCCCCTGCTGAGGGCAGACAGACCCTGCAGCAGCTGGCGGCAGGCAGGCCCCAGCCCAAAGGAGAAGCACCTGACAAGAGAAGGGGAGCAGCCGTGACCTTCCGGAGCCTCTTTGGGAGGCCAACTTCAGGATCCTGGCTCTGCCCACTCCATCCTACCTGGCTGCCCCCCGGTGCCACCTCATGAGCTCCAGGGTGTGGTGGGTCACAGCAGCCATGGGCGAGGCAGCGGTGAGCAGGAACAGCTGCCGAGGGTGGGCCCTGTGCTGGGGCTGCCCAAGGGCCCAGTCCAGTGCAGACCTCACATCCGGCGGGCCGCCCGCAGCCTGCAGCATCTCAACGCTCTCGCAGATCAGCTTCACAGCTTCCTGGAGGAAAAGGACATGGGCTGGGCCACACTGGCTGAGACGCCTCTGGCTAGGCCACCAAAGCCCCGGGCCACACTCACATCATTGCAAGGCCGGCTCTCTGGGAAGAGGGGCTGCACCAATGTGCCAAACGTGGCCAGGTTGATGAGTGTCTGGGGCGGGAGTGACTTCACGGCCAAAACGATGGCATCCTGGGGAGAGCCAGGGAGGGCAGGGTGAGGCAGGCCCCACTGGCACCGGTAGAGAACAAGGGATGCCAGATTGCTTGCTTTCTCCAGGCCGTGTGTAGAATGAGGGGTAATCTGGGTGAGGCCCTGTATGTGTGAGGCTGTGAGTGAGACCCTGGCATGTGAGGGAGACTCTGTATGAGAGATGATTGTGCATGTGACCCTGGAGGTGTATGTGAATCCTTGGGTTTGAGATTCGGTGTGACTGAATGTAACTTTACATATGAAAGAGGCTCTTGGAATCTGGGAGAAATGCATGTATGTATGAGCATGAGAAGGAGAGAGAGGGGTGTGTGTGTGTGTGTGTGTGTGTGTGTGTGTGTGTGTGTGTGTGTGTCTTCAGGAGGCTGCCCCCCAGCCCACCTCAGACCCACTGCTGCACCTAACCCCAGGCCTGCCCACACCATGCTCCCACAGGCCTTGTGTGCCATGCTGCTGCCATCCAACAGGAAGAGGAGCTCCCGAGTAGCTGTGCCCAGGTGTCCAGGCTTGGAGCTCAGGTCCGGGCAGAAGCTAAGCACCAGCACGGGGTTCAGCAGGATGTCCTTGTGGAAGCGTCGCTGCAGGAACCACACCTGAGCAGGGGAGCCCCAAGTCATCCTGGGCCAGGCTGAGTGCAGCTCCGACCTAGGCTGGCAGCAGGACCTAGCCCCGGAGACTTTTTCAATCCAGTCCACCCAGAGGGGGCACCCTTTTGTAGTCATCTGAATAAAAGCGAGGGCAGAGACAAGTGGCTGTCCTCTGCCTAGGTCAGTCCTACCCCCAATCCTCCGAGACACATTCCAGGGACACTTGAGTGGGCCCTCCTGTGAAAATACTCATCAGTCCTCCGGGAGGGTAGTGGCAGCTACTGAGAGCTCCTGCTGAGAGCAGAAGCCCCCTGCCCATCCCAACGTAAGCCTGCTCGCCTTCTCCTCCTGCACTAACACAGCCAGAAGTGGGACCAGGGGCCAGGCCAGGACCCCAGGCAGCCATACCTGCCGGTCCCCCTCACTGTCCCTTCGCTGCAGCCTCTGGAAATCCCGGCGGGCCCTCACCTGGGCCTCATATTCTGCTGAGCTCAGGCTGCCGGCCTCCAGCATCAGGTGTGGCTGGTGGGGCTCTGGGGAGAAGGGGACACAGCTCTGTCAGGGAAGTCCCTGTCTCTAGACCCCAACTGCTCAGGCCCACTGTCCTGGGAGAACTTTGCCGATCCAGCCTCCCTGTACCACCAGGCCCACCCTCACAAATGAGGTGGTCCTGAAGCAGGTCAGAGCTGGCCTACTGTGTGTCCCAGTCTCTCACCACTGGGGTGCAGCAGGATCTCCAAGGCCCGGTCGCAGTGGTGGCCCTCTGCCAGAGTGACACAGATGGTGGCTGCAGAGCTGGCATGAGGGGGGGCATCTGCCCGCAGAGCATGAGAGGGGCTCTCCAGGCCTGAGGGATGTAGAGGCAGGGAGAGGTGATGATTGCCCCACCCCAAGCCAGTACTAAGAGCACAACTATCACCTTCCCAGGCAATAGTGCTGGGGGCCGGGATCATGACTGCTTGAGCTCAGCTCTCAGAGTCCAAGCTATGGAGTGGGCAAGCGGGGATTTACCTGCTTTCATGGACTGGGAGCAGAATTCCCAGGTACATCCTGCCTGGCCAAACAGTTCTATATCAACCAACTGCTGATTTAACGTCCTGGTCCACCTCGTGCACAAGAAAACTCAAATTCATCACTTGGACCGGTCTCATTGTAAGCATCTCTCTTCTCATTGGTGAGTGGAGTGGGATATAAATAAATGACACTGACAAACCTAGGGGTGTGTTTGTTGTGTGGAAGTGGCCAGGGGGTGATCCCACCGTGAGACTAGAGGTTCCTAAGGCTTAGGTCCCTGTCTTCTTTTTGTCCTGTGTTCCTCCCATCCCTGAACCTTCAGTTATTTCCCAGTCAGCTATGCTGAGAGGGGCACCCACCTGCGAGCAGGCATGGCCCAGTCACCAGCATCTCGAAGGAGAAGGTGTACGGGGCCGGGCAACGGGCAGGGCCTGAGAACACGTCCAGAGGGGCAGCTGGCTCCTCCCAGGCCGGCCCCTCCCCCTCAGGGCTGCCCATTCCGAAGCAGCTGGTGGGACTGGAAAGGAACACAAGGAGGGTCACTACCAGGGCCCCTAGCCCCTCTGGCTGACTGGCCTCAGCCCTTCCCCACCCTGCCCATCCCCCGGGGCACCCTGCCAAAGCCCCCTCACCCGCACTAGACCCAGAGAAGTCGAGGGAGGGACGAAGAGAATCACCATAGGCCCAACCTGTCGTCACAGAGCCCCGGAGGCCTGGGGGGCCCCAGCGGGCCTGGCGGGGCCAGAGGGGTGAGCACGGAGGGCAGGGCCACGCACAGCACCCCGTCAGGCCTGGAGGGCAGCTCCCGGCTGCTGCGCAGGGTCACTGTCATGGTGCCGGCTGCGGCGATGAGGCCTGTGGGCAGCACCAGTGTGGACCGGGCCTGGGCCAGATCCAAGACAAGATGACCTATGATGAGTGAGGAAAGGGGTCAGAGAGGGCTGGAAGCAGACGAGATGGGGGAATCTGCAGGTAGGAGCAGGCACTGAATCAGGGGAGCTTGGGCAAGGAGGATTTTGTGAGGTTGGAGGGATGCTGGGCTAATGCACTGGTGATGCAGGATGGAGGCATGAGATGAACGATGGTTGAAGGAGAGGCAGGTTGATGGTAGAAGGAGCTGGCTGTCATTAGGAAAGGCAGCAGTGACATCACTGCTAATAGAGGGCTGAGGAGAAGGGGGCATGTCCACACCACCCCTAAGGTCCTGGGGGACCCATACCCTCCACCTCTCTTTCTTTACCTGCTCCAGCCTGTTCAACCCTTGGGCCTCATCTTCCTAAAGAACCCTCGCTGACATCTCCCATAGCCTGGTACCCACCTGCTCACAAATTCCCTGCTCATGAACAGTCACGGACTCCCCACTGCCCACTAGGTGTGGCTCCAGAATTTTCTACCCAAGAGGAATTCAGGAACTGTAATCTATTTGGAAGCTAGCTAGAGGACATTTACATACCAAGCACATCATTTTACTTAGATCTCGGTTTGTTTGCGGACGGGTGGAGTCATGGGCATCACCACTGCTGCTAAAGGGAAAATGGCCAGGGGTATACAGTGATGGTCAAGGCCCTACATGGTCTGGCCCCAGCCTACCTTTACAGCCCTACTTCACCTCATTTCCCCACAATAATCATTGACCCATTCTTTTGAAAAATACTTGCTGAATAAATGAAGGGAAGAAAAAAATGGAAGGAAAAAAAGGAAGGTAAGAAGGAAGAAAGGGGCTTCCATCCCAGGCAGCTGAGGCTTGGGACAGTCTGATACAGTGAAGAGAGCACAGTGTCAGGTTTTGAGTCTCCACTCTGTGATTTCTAATTCTATCCTTTGGTAACTCTCTTGTTTAGAGGAGCCTTGGTTTCCCCATTTATAAAATGGGGGTCATAATTATATGTCAAGGACTGCGGTGAGGAATGAATGAGATGATATACATGAAGCATCCAACGTTTAAGAGACTGCTGCTGTTACTTTTGTCACCTATAGAAGGGGGAAGGAGAACAACACTTGCGTTACATACCTCTCTGGATTCATATGAGGTGACATCAGTGACTGGGCTTTGTCAACTGTGAATCACTATAAACATGAGGTATTTTATTACCATCACCCAGTATAACTTACTTCGAAACCTTTGCTTACACGATTGCCCCTGCCTGGGGTGCCTTTCCTCTCCTCTCCATATCACTACATCCAACCCTTCCTTTCAGTCAAATGCTGGCTCCACTTCCTTCTGGAATTTTCCTGAGGCCTCAGCCTAGAGCTCACTCTGGCCTCTACGTGCTGGGCTTGTGCCAACTCTCAACACCACTGAATTCTGTTCCTCTTCTCACCCAGATGGTAAATCCCATGTGCAGGAATCAAGTGAATGTACAAATAAATAAAGGAATGAAGTGCAAGCCAGAAAACCTAGCAGAGGGGTGGGCTTCCATCCCCTCACCCAGCACTCACTGATTCTCTTTGTGCTACATTTTGTGCCAGGTGCTGGGATTCTGGGACTCCGAGATGACCAAAACCCCATCCCAGGCTCAGGAGCTAAAGCTCCAGAGGGAGAGAGAGACGTGTGGACTGCCTGCCTTGTCTATCTACCTGGCTGCAAACCTCGGGTCAGGCCTGGTTCACATTCCCCCAGCACCTGGCCCACGTCAGGGGCCCAGTCCTCGACTGTGGAATAAAGGGATGAATCAATGAATGAAAAAAACAGTGGCTGGAGGGGGAACAGAGAGGGGCGGGATGCAGAGCGGTGCAGGAACTAAAGTGCGGCTGCTTTCAGGGAGATGGGGCGGGAAGCGCCCTGGACTCACCCTGCGCACAGCGGCGGGGTGTTGAGGCCCCCAGCGCGGGGCCCACCGCGCGGCAGCAGGCGTCCTGCGAGCGGCGCCGGCTCTGCAGCTGGAAGGAGACGCGCCGTCCGGCGGCCTCCGCCTCGAAGCCCGAAACCACTTCGGCCTCGGCCAGCGGGTACACAAACACGCCTGGGGCGGGAGGGGGGCACCGGCGATGTCGGACCTTGCTAGGCTTGCGCTGGCCACCACCCTGTGCCCCCGCCCGGGCCTCACCGTCCACAGGCTGCGGCTGTGGGTTGTGGTAGGTGAGCCGGGCCCGCAGGCTGAGGCAGGGTCCATTGGCGCAGGCCCGAACCCAGGAGTCCGTGAGCGGCAGCGGCGTCCAGCTGGAGGGGCAGTACAGACCGGGCATGGTGCCTCTGGTGGAGGGGGTGCTCGATGAGGGGTGCGCGGCGTGAGTTCAGGGCGTTCCGCCCCACCCTCCTGAAAGCAGGCGGGGAGGCTCTAACTCCGGCGCTGGGACGCGGACCTGCAGGGGGCGCGAGGCTGAGCCCGGCCCGGCGGACAGGTGGCGAGGGGAGGGAGGCAGCGGGGGTGGCGGGATGGGCATCTTCGCCGGTTACCTGGGAATCCGGGGCGGAGCGCAGCTCCAGGCAGCACGGGGACCCGGGGAGCGGAGGGTTAATGTTTAACTGGAGCTACGGGCGCCCAGCAGTCCCGCCGCCGGCTCCTCTAGGGGCGGGGGGGGGGGGTAGTGTCGCAGCTGTTCCATCACACCCTCCCGGGCCTCACCGCCACCCCAGTACCTGCCGGCCCCCCGGGGCTCCCCGCGGCTGCCAGCTGTTGGAAGTGGCGCGGGTGGAGAGATGGAAGATGCTCTGGGTGGGGAGCAAGGGTTTAAAGGGCCAGCATCCTTCTGGGTCTCCCTAGCCCAGCAAGGGATAGCAGGGGCGGGGTGGGACGGGGAGCCGAAGGGCCGCAGTCCCTCTCTCTCTCTCTCTCTCTCTCTCTCTCTCTCTCTCTCTCTCTCTCTCTCTCTCTCTCTCTCTCTCTCTCTCTCTCTCTCTCTCTCTCTCTCTCTCTCTCTCTCTCTCTCTCTCTCTCTCTCTCTCGGGCTCCTCAACTGACAAGGGCGCTGAGACGGGCTGCAGGCCGGAGTGGAGGGGATTGGGTTGGGAAGAACGAGATGGGAAGCGAAAGGAGGGGGTCTTACGGAGGCAAGACCCGGAGAGGTGTTGGGCAGAGGGATTAGTTGGCATCCGTCCAGGGCACCTCTCCCCATCCTGGCAGAAGTGACCTGGGATTGGGAAGGGGGGCTGCAGTCGCCGCCGCCCGCACAGCCGAACTGTCTATGGATGCTGCGGGCTGGGTCTGGGGATCGTCCCCCTCCCCTCAGGCAGCCCCAGCCTCACCGTCGCGTCCTCTGCGGAGTTCTGGGCGCCACGACGGGACCAGGATAGGTGGTACCGCCTCTGCGACCCGGTCCACATTCAGCCTGGACACCTGCCGGGCGCCCGCCGCGACCGCTCTGAGTCCGCCCAGGGGCGTCGGCCGGGTGGGTGCTGGTCCCGCCCCCGCTCGGAAGGCGGCCCCTCCAGCTGGCCTTGGCCCCGCCTGTCGCTGCGGCGGGGCTGCTGCTCCCCGCCCCCTTCGGGCGCGGTACCGCCTCCGCGCCAGCGCCGGCCGCTCCAGCCAGACCAGGCGCCGCAGTGCAGGAACCGCGTCCTCGCCCCGCGCAGCCCCCCATCAGTGCGGGGCGGAGGCCTTCGAGGCCCCACCCTTTCCATCCTTCAGGAAGTGAGGGGCTCTGCAAGTGCAGCAGAGGGGCTCAATTTTCAGTCCCCCCATCCCCGCACTGCAGCAACCCCAGCTATCCCGATATTACCCCACCCCTGCCCCCTCACCCCTCACCCCCACAATGGCTCAGCTTTTCATCACTGCAGTGACCCTCATCACTGCAGCGAACCCCAGGGCCCCATCACCGTAGGAACCCCGAGCCCCCAAGAAGCCCGACCCTTTCCTGTGCAAAGCGCTACTTCACTGCAGAAACCTCCCCCTCCCCCATCCCTGCAGGTGTCTTCAGCTAGTGTGATCACTTCCGTGACCACTCACTCCAAGCAGGGAATCCCCATCACTGCAGGAGTTCTTCCCCCTCCAACAGCCAACCTTCCCACCACTGCTGTGCCATCTCCCCACTTTTTCTGGGGATGGGGAGGGTAGGCAGGATTGCCCTCTCAAGCTATAACTTCTGGGTACCTTCAGTTGCCCACCACCTTGGAGTGAGGCCTTTCGGCCTGCAGAGCCTTCTGGCGGCTGCAGACTGCCCCCATTGTAGCAGTGACCCCTCACCCCATCACTGAAGCACCTGTAGCAGAAAACATCCCTGCCTGTTACCAGGTTCCTTTGTTACTGGCTGAAATTTCGTGCACTTGACAGTGTTATGCTGCAAAAGACTAGGGAAGTCTGTAAAATCTTCCCCAGGATCCCTGAGGGAGAGAGTCTGGGAGCCCTGGGAAAGTGACCGTGTTGGGGGTCACCCATGCAAGCTTTCTTGGAGAGGCCACACTCAGATTCTGCCAAGAGAGCTTGAGGAGAGCTGGGAGTGGGGGGCAGCCAGTAGGGAGTGGGCTTCAAGTCAGGCTCAGGGTTCTCACCCCTCCCCATTTACTGTATCCTGATTCCAGTCACTAGCTCCATGCTGGTCCCAGGGGGGATCCCCTGCCTCCTTGAGCACCTGAACCCTCCACTCCAGCCCTTTCCCTTGCTTGAACCACTTAGCGTGGTGGAGATAGCTTGGCCTTTTCCCAGGGAACTTCATGGGTGGAAATGCACAGGGATGATACAGGAGGCATAGCCACCATCACAATGATCCAGCTCACGGGGAGCTCCAGCTAAGTCCTAGCCTGTTCTTTTCTTTTTCCTAATTAAAAAAATTTTTTTTTAAATTTTTTTGGCTGTGTTGGGTCTTCACTGCTGCATGTGGGCATTCTCTAGTTGTGGCGACCAGGGTCTACTCCGTTATGGTGCACCGGCTTCTCATTGCGATGGCTCCTCTTGTTGTGGAGTTCAGGCTCTAAGCTCACGGGCTTCAGTAGTTGTGGCTCACGGGCTTAGTTGCTCTGCGGCATGTGGGATCTTCCTGGAGCAGGGATCAAATCCCGTGTTCCCTGCATTGGCAGGCAGATTCTTAACCACTGCGCCACCAGGGAAATCCCCAGCCCTGTTCTTTTCACACTATCTGAGCCCTGATTCCATTGACCCCCTCTCCTCCCTTCTCTGCTGAGCCCTCCCCCAGCCTCGTTCAGAGTGAACATTCCTCTAACAGGCTTGGGGAGAAAGAGTAGATGGTGGGTGGGTGGATGGGCCCTCCAGGTGCTCCAGGTCTCCGGACAGGACCAGCCCTGGCCCACGAAAGTCCAGGCAGCGACCACCTCCCTATGGGTGTTTTGTGCTCTGCCCCTTCTGCAAATGAGCCAAGAGCTACCTGTACAAATACGAAGCTGCAAGGAGCAGTCATTAAAGAGCCTCAAACACACAGAAATGGAAAAAGAGGTCCTTGTCTTGGGTCCTGAGGAGGGCTTGGATGTAAAACAGTGTCCCAGGAAGATGGTTTCTTGGTCAGAGACTAGACAACACATTGGTAGAAGCCAAGCTTTCCTGGGAAGCTGGACCAGCCCTGAGATCCTGCTGGGAAGGCTGTCTAAGATAGGTCAGCAGCTTGGCCGGAGGTGTAAAGCATTCTGCAGGATGGGGCAGGGCAGTGCAGGCTGCCTGGCTCTGGGGAGGAGGGGGGTTCTGTGGAGGGGCTCTGAGGCCCAGCTGGGAGGCACTTTGGTGGTGGGGCTGCAGCATGGCAGGCAGCTGAGGGCTGGAAGGGGCAGCACAGACCCAGGGGGTCCCAGAACCACATTTCAGGAGGTAGCGGCGATCCTAGGCAGGGCTAAGGAATGGCCTGGGGGCTGAATGCTCTGCTATGTGCCAGGCATAGGGGAGGGCATGAGGAATATAGAGCTACAAAGGCATAGCCTCTGTCCCGAAAGGCTCACACTCTGATGAAGAAGGCAAACACACAGTTACAGTAGGCTAGGATGACGGCTGCATTACAGGAATATCATGGATATTATAAAAGCTTTTAACTGAGACCTTTTAGGAGGGGTACCTAACCTGGTGGTTGAAGGGTGGTGCCGTTTAAGTGGAGTCCTAAATGGGAGCTAAGCAGTAAAGAGGAAGATGTTTCAAGCAGAGGGATCAGCTCATCAAAAAATGAAGAGCTAGAGGGACTAAGGAAAGGCTAAGTAGGTGTGCATTTGTTTTTTTCTCTTAGTTAATATTTGTCAAGCACTTACTATTGGCCAGGCACTGCACTAAGCATGCATCACCTCCTTGAATGATTAAAATAGCCCAAGAGACAAGCACTATTATTATCTTACAGGTGAGGAAATCAAAGCCCAGACAAGGTAAGTTGCTCATGATAAGCTAGTAAAGTGGTAGAGCCAGGATGTTGAACTCAGATGATCTACCCTCAGAACACTTGAACCTTTGTTTTTAAACTACTACCATAGACAATAAAATTTCCTTAATGTTTATTTCCTGGTTTATTTCTCTTTGATTTTCCCTAAATCTCTTTTTTTTTCTGAATCTTTTTAAAAATTGAGGGGCTTTCCTGGTGGTCCAGTGGTTAAGATTCCACGCTTCCACTGCAGGGGGCACAGGTTTGATCCCTGGTTGGGGAACTTAGATCCTGCAAGCTGCTCAGCACGGCCATAAAAAAAAAATTATAAATAAATAAATAAATAGAGATATTATTGACGTATACCAATATATTAGTTTTAGGTGTACAATATAATGATTTGATATATGTATATATTGTGAAATGATTACCACAGTAAGTTTAGCTAATATCCAATTAAATTTCCTAAATCTCTTAATATACCTCCTTTTGAAAATTCCCGTCAGTCTTGGCTGACCTCAAAAGAAAGGGACAGGTGGAGAAACAGGTGTAGAGTGGGAGACCTAGTGCCAAGCCAGTGGGCAAAGGTGGGAGCTGGTGGGGCCCAGGCAGAGAATGGGACAGGACAGGTGGTTGAGTCTAGAGCCCACATTTACCTCTTGAGCCAGTGAGAGACCCTGGGAGTGACTCTCTTTCTATCACAGGCCCTGGCACACAGTAGGTGTCCAATAAATGTTGGCTGACTCAGTTACAGGGATGATGTGAGAAAACTCACTGGCTCTGTTAGTGGAATAGACCCTATTTTCTAATCTCTGTGTGGAGCAGGCCGCTGGGCCACTGAGGTCCCTGTCCAGGATACCTCTCACCTTGGCCACCACCAACCTAGCCTGTAGGTTGCTTCTCCTCTGATCTGGCCCAGGACGGAGGATTGAACTTGTCCCCCCCAGGTCAGGAGAACACTGTCCAGGTCAGGGCCAAAATGTCAACAACCTTTATCAAGGGTGGTGGTATAGGGGTGGGGACAGGGTAAATCTAAATGGAAAGGGCCTCAGAAAATGACATTCAGCCGTGTCACTTGTTGCAACTCAGTTGTCTTCTGCTTGTGGGCTGCCTCCCTGCCTTCGGGACCAGTGGTTGTGTTTCCCCAAGCTTCAGAAGCATCTACATGCTC